AAAGGTGCACAGGGAGGGTGGGAGGGCTTCAGGATTAGAAGTCCCCTGTGTCTGACTCCAGGAAATGCATGCTTTCCCTTACATCAGGGCTTTACAACCTGGACACTGCTGATATTGTGGGCCAGACAACTCTTTGTTGCGGGGGCTGCCCTGTGCATTATAGGATACACAGCAGCATCTCTGACCTCTAACCACTAGATGGTGATAGCATCCCCCCAACTCATGACAACCAAAAATGTCTTTAGACATTGCCAAATGCCCCTGGGTGGCAAAATCTCCTCGTCTTGAGAATGACTGTCCTCCATTATGCTGTCCTACTGCAGGTAGTGACCAAAGAGGGGCTGTCTCAGCTGGGAATTGAACTCAGGTGTCATACAGGGCAAGGGAGAGGCTGAGTCCATGCCATTGAAGTATTGAGGTGGAAATTACTCTTACAGTATCTATTGATATTTACCCTCTGTTTTTCTAGTGAAAATTTTCAGCTGGGGTTATTGCTTCCAGAATAAAGACTACATTTCCCAGTCTTCCTTGCAGCTAGCCATGACCACATGAAACATTCTAGCCAATTAGAGATGATGTGGGCAAATTCCTAGCTGTGTCCTAAAAGGGGAGTGTCACACTCCCCTTCATTGCCTTTTCCCTGGTCTTGCTGCCTGGGATGTCGACCTGGTAGCAACGCAATCAAGGAGTCCTTGGTCTCAATATCAGGGAGCGGCTGTTTTGCCTGGTCTGCTTATGCTCATATGTTACTAGAGAAACCAATTTTGTTCTGGTTTAAATCACTGTTATTTATGAGTTTTGTTAAACTTGCCAAACTTGTATTCCAACTATTACAGACACCCAAGCTAGCCACAGTGTGGAAGGAAAAAAGGCAGGAAAGGGGAGAGGAGGCTATACATGGAGGCAGTGTGGCTGGGTGAGCTCAGAAATGCTCTGGGATACCTTCTGGGAAGTCTCTGAGTTAGATTTTGAAGATTGTGAAAATGTGGAGCGATGGGGGAAGGAGGAGGGCACTTCAGAAGGGACTGGAGCAGAAGCAAGAGCCTTGAGGAGAAACTTCGGCAAGGCCTTGAAGGACAAGGAGGGTCTCAATAGGCTGAGAAGAGAGAGGAAGATTCGTCAGAGGGGAACCCAGTGTCAGGTGGGGTATTTCACCAGGTGAACTGAAACCAGGTGCAGGGATCCTGGAGTTTGTCATGAGCCCTGGGGGACATCTGGAGGCTGGGATTGGAGACAGAGAAATAGTTGGGGAGCCCTGGCCCCTCTCTGACTCAGGGTACCTCTCTGGAGTTGATCCCTCACCCATGCCCCATGCTGCATGCTAAAATGAGCACAACTTTGCTGGGCCTGGGGTTTTGATGTTTTCTTGCCCAGCTCTTCTCCAGCGGGCAGCCAGGGCCACCAGGAGTGCAGCCAAGGTCACTGCCTTCAGTCCCAGGACCACGACCGTGAGCACAGACAGGAGGCCTGGGGGATACAAAGGAGAGTTCAGGAAGGACCTCAGGTGAGCCTTTAACAGCCCACACTTAGTGCTCCCTGTGGGCGAGGTTGGGCTCAGCTGCCCATAACCTCTGGGGCCACATTCTTTCTATACTGGCAAAGGAGATCCAAGTCCTCCCCTCCCTTTGTCCCAGGCCTGAAAAGGCCTTGCTCAATATCTTACCTGTACCTTTAATCATCCTGATGACCTCCCTGACCTCTGACAATACAGCAAGTTTTCACTTAACATAATCGATTGGTTCTGTGACTTTAAGTAAAACATACATGTAATGAAACCAACTTTAGCATAAGCTAGTTCATATAAACAAGAGTGAACTTTCCTACGGCATCTTATTAACATTATAACGAAATGATGGAAATGGCGTCATCCAAGGACCTGCTATAATAGAAAACTACTTTCATTTATTGGCTGCTTGGCTTCTCTGCCTCAGGCCCCAAGCTAAGCACTTCCTAATTGCCTAATATAATCCTCAAACTAATCTTGCAAGGCAGGAGAGCAATGCGATTTGTATAGATGAGGAAGCAGACGCAGAGTGGGGAAGTGATTTGCTCAAGGCTACACGTGTTGAAGAAGTGATGGGCTCCCAAGAATGGGAGGAACAGGGTTGAGCATCAGGGAGGGCAACCTGGCAACCTCTATTCCCAGTTCTCCCAGTCATCAATGCCCCTGAGTGCTAACAGGTGCTGTGACAGACACAGTTCTGGGCACTCAGCACATGTGACTCATTGGATCCACACACAACCCTGTGAGGTAGGCTCTCTGATTTCCCGAAGCCCTCAGTTCACAGAGCAGGACATCAGAGATTCAAGGAGTGAGGCACCCTGCCCACAATCTCACAGAGAGATAGGGGCTCAATCCAGGAAGCCTAGCTATAGAGCCATGTGCTATTTAGCACTGTTATGTACAGTTTTACGGTGTAATCTTACAAGGAATCATGGGCAGTCCACTACCTCTCAAACAAGACTGCCCATTGAACATTTAGAACTGGCTGTGTCTCTGATTGAGCTTTAGCAAGGTTCTCTGGGTTCCAGGTTCTGCAGTTGAGATGGAGTTCTAGGAACTTTCTTGGTGGCAGATGGGCCCTAGAAGGGACTGGTCCCTTCCCATGGCTAAGCCATCTTTGCCCCACCTTTGCCTGTGGGGTATTGGTTAACTCCTTTGGAGGTAAGAACACTCACCTGACAGAAATCTCCTGGCTACATGTTGATTGATGACCTCTGTCTCTTGGGGAGAAGAGGAATTTGCTGCAAGGGAGAGAGGTGGTCTTAAATTCCACTTTTCTTTCTGTCCCACCGCTTTCTGAACCCTGTGCTTGGAGCTGGGGTCACCAAAATGAGTCTGCCAGCGTCCATCTGGGATGAGGGCTAGAAATCATACCTAGTAGCGGGGACTGGTTAGTCCTGTTGAGCATCTCTGGGGTTGAAACAACGTCTAATTCATTGCAGTATCCATAGCACCGAGTACAGTGAAGAACAGTCAACAGGCATGCACTAGATGTTTGTTTAATTGTTAACTATACATAGTTCCATGGTACCCAGAAATGGGAGAAATTAACTCTGCCTGGTAAAAGGAGAAGGTTTCACAGAGGAGGGGCTATTTATGCTGAGCTTTGAGGGATGAGCAGGAGTTTGACATAGAAAATGAGAAAACATTCCAGGCAGAGGCAACAGCTTATGTAAAGGCATGGAGGCTGAGAAAAGCTGGCTTGTTTGGGGCATGGTGAAGAGTTCCTGTGGATAACCTCCCCTTTCCCCTAACATCTCCTAGACCACCTGTCTTACCTTGCACTCTCAGCCTGGTGCCCTGTCCAGACAGGTATTGCCTGTTAATTTTCCTGTGAAACTTTACACAGTAGTAGGTGCCTGTGTACTCAGTAGAGACACCTTGCAAAAGAATGCTGAAATCACTGCTGGAGGCGTGGACTGCAGTCACGTTGGGCTGGGAGATGCCTTCGAAGTTGTAAATGGCTTCCCGGCTCAAACCAGCCCCCCGAAACCACCTCACGGGTCCAGGAGGACCATATCCAAGTACTGTGCAGTTCAGCAAGACAGTGTCTCCAGTGGTTGCCAACACCAACTCCTGGGGCTGGATGATCCAGAGGTGTGGCTGTAGGCTCTCAGCTCCTGAATTCAAAGAGAGGTTCTTGTTTCATTCTTTCTTTTTCCATCGTCCACTCATCTCTTCCCTCCCTCCTCTTCCTTGCTTTCTTCAATCAGCCACTCCCTCCTGTGTCCCCTCATTACTCAGTAGTTGACGAGAGGAGAGGGAGAGGGAGAGAAATCGATGTGAGAGTGAAACATTGATCAGTTGCCTCCCACATAAGCCCTGACTGGGGATGGAGCTGGTAACCTTTCAGTGTCTGGGATGGTGTTCCAACTACCTGAGCCACTCTGGCCAGGGCAATACAGAAGTCCTCAGTACTGACTTTGTGCTGATGCTAAGACTGGGGAAAATAAAGCTTAGAAAGACACACAAACGTCCTGCCCTGAAAAAGTTCTCAGTCTGGTGGTGGAGATGGTCCAGAAAATCCCTCTGAGTTTGGATATCCAGACGACTGCAGGACCAAGAGCAGGCACCAGCCACAGCTTGGAAGGAGTCAGAGAAGTCTTCCTGAAATGCTTGCATCAAGCTAAAATGAATCTCTCCCCACCCCCCACCTCCACCACACCCACAGATACTCTCCATGTCAGCAGTTTACAGAGTGGTTTCACAAACATCGGTTCTTCTGTTTCATTACCCGAATGACTCTTGAAGTAGGAATTGTGTTGCCTATTTTTCAAGTTAGGCACTTGAAGTACACAGATCTGAAGTGACTGATTTAAGAACACACTTCTATTGAATGACACATCCAGGATTTGGGTGTCCAGGCCATTACTGGTGAACTTACAGATAACATGACTGATGCCTTGGGGAGTGAGGTAAATTAAATGATCAGCCCCAGTTCTTGACTCCCCTGTGGTACATCCATACTCCTGCCATGGCCTCACGACGGCAGGTACACTTTCTCGTCTATTGAGTTTGAGCTGAGTCATGTGAGTTGCTCTAACCAACGGGCTGTTAGCAGACATTGTGCCAGTAGAAGCTTGAAATGTACCGGGAGTGCTGGGACTTGTCCCTTGTTCTGCTGCGCTCTCCATGAGAAAACGCACCCTGCCAGTCTGGGCCCCGGGATGAGATGTGTGGAACAGAAGCACCCAGCTGCCTGTAATGTGTGAGTGAGATATACTAATTGCTACATGCCATTGAGATTTTGTGTGTATAGCATGATTGTGGGTAAAAGTGACTGATGTAGAGAAACAGAGCGGAGCAGAATGTTATAACCCGCAGGGCCTAATACTCACCCTTCACAAGCACCGAGGTGCCCTCATCCAGCTGCATTTCTGAGTGTCCACTCAAGCCGTCAAACCTCACGCAGTGGTAGGTTCCTTCCTGCTCCCTGGTGACATTATGGATATAGATAGAATGGTCGCAATCAAGTGGCTCCAATGTCTGCTGGATCAAGGGTGTCACCCCAGGGAAGAAGCCGTGTCTGAAGTTGTAAATTTCCTGCTGGCCCCGATTGCTCACCTTGACCCATTTTATCATGGCATCAATGCAGGAGCCCATCACTGTACACCTCAGTAGGAGTGTCTCACCTTCTGCCACCAGCATGGGACCATCGGGTTGCAGCACCTGCCACTCATTCCCGTTGCTCCGCTCAGAGGCTCCTACAATAGAGGAAGAAAGACCTTGAGCTGGACAGGAAAGTCTTGGAGACCTAAGAGGCAAGCTTAACAGAAATTAGTCATTAGCTGACCAAGAACAATTGTTCAGTACACTCCAGGGGTGTTGTTGGAGATGGAAGTAAAAGAGGAGATGAGGCAACTGGCTGGAGAGAACAGAGCCACTGAATGGAGAACTTACAAATAATGGATGGCACTTGAGTGCTCACCATGTGCCAGGAACTGCTTGTATTTGTCCCTTCCAATGCTCCCATGAGGTGGGCAGCATCATTCCCATTTTATTTTTATTTTATTTTTTAATATATTTTATTGATTTTAGTGAGAGGAAGGGAGAGGGGGATAGAAACATCAATGATGAGAGTCATTGATCGGCTGCCTCCTGCACGCCCCTCATTGGGGATGGAGCCTGCAACCCGGGCATGTGCCCTGACTGGGAATCGAACTTCGATCTCCTGGCTCCTATGTGGATGCTCAACTGCTGAGCCACGCCCGGAGGGGCCATCATCCCCATTTTAGAACAGAAGACAATGAGTGCCCAGAAAGATTAGGTAACTTTCCCAGGATCACCGTTTATGGGCTGAATGGTGCCCCCTACCCCCACAATTCATATGTTGAAGTCCTCACCCATGTACCTCAGAATGTGACTGCATTTAGAGATAGTCTATAAATAGGTAATTAAGTTAAAATAAGGTCACATGGGAGGGTCTTAGTCCAATATGACAGCTGTCCTTATAAGGCAGATTAGGACACACACACACACACACACACACAGACACGGAAGACCACATGAAGACATGGAGAGAAGACAGCCATCTACAAGCCATGGAGACAGGCCTCAGGAGAAATCAACCCTGTAGACACCTTCATCTTAGACTTCTAGTCTGTAGAATTGTGAAAAAATAAATTTTTGTTGTTTAAGACAGCAGCCTGTGGTACTTTGTTACCACATCCCTAGCAGACTAATTCATCCCCCGACCCCCAAATCTGACAGAGCCTCAATCCAAACACTTAAAGCCTGTTTCTGGAGCCCCTGGTCTTAATCCTCAAATATAGCAGAGAGAGTTTATGTGCTGTGGTGCTCATTGTAAGTGCTCTCCCGCCTCCTGTGACTCCTTCAACAATGCTTGTTGATGCGCTGTGAAGCGGGTCTATTTGGGAGATAGGTTGAACTTTGAATTTGGCCTCAGGCTAAGCTCAGAAAAAGAGGGTGGAAGCCACCTATGGAAGTTCTTCTACACCCAGGTTATGAACATCATAAGCACCAGGACTCTATGAGGAGGGTCTATTTTACTGTCTCTATTTATGAGATGAGAAAAATGAATGCTCAGAGAGATTTGAAGAAACTGGAGGTGAACCATACACTCAGAACAGTCATGGCCAGGACTTGAATGCAGATCAGGTGACTTAGGGGTTTGCTCAACACAAGGTCATCAGCTTTTTGTTCTGAATTTCCCTTGGTTTGTGTTCCCATCAGGCCCTGGGAATAACTCGGTTTCACTCTAAGACATAAGCTTGCGGTACAGTATATCATGGTGTTTCTCAGTTGCGAGTGAGATGAGGTAGGGAAGTGAAACAAACATTCTCTTCTCTTCTAAGAGGATATGGGGAAGGGTTGTGAAACTCTAAATTCTTTTTCTGCTTATCTGCAGCTAGACGTGTACTATTAGCCTCTAAGAACTACCTCACAGTAGTGACCAAGTGACACACCATATTTAATCCTAGGGATGGCTTTTGTCCTCGGTGTCTTTAGTTCCAAGAAGTTCAGCAACACCCACCCCCAAAACCATTATCTGAATGAGTCAGATCTGTTCTCTCTAATCCTTTCTGGTGGGTCTTGCCCTGGCCTCAGGTAGTTCCTTCAAGTGTATGCACAAAACAGTGTCCAACCCTCAGCACAGGGTTGAGAATAGTGCCTGTGCCCACCAGCCAGACTGGAAGACCTCATGATCGACAGGGCAATGGGTAGACAACACAAGACAGGGTACTCTACCCAGAGAGATGGGCTCTGGTCTCACTGAACAAATCTGAAAAGCAAGGCCCCAAAATTATAAAAAGTAATAACATTCTATTGTGAGGTTTATAGAACTTGTATAAATAAAGTTAAGACAATAATAGAGAAAAGGCAGAGATGGGGGAAATGTTAGTATACTATCGCAAGGTTCTTATATTACAGTCATGCATCACATAATGATGTTTTGGTCAACAATGAACCTCATGTACTACAGTGGTCCCACAAAATTATAGAGGAGCAGAAAAGTTCCTATTGCCTAATGATATTGTAGCCATGGTAAGGTTATAGAGCAACATATTCCTCATGTGTTCATGGTGACGCCGTTGTAAACAAACCTGCACTGCCAGCTATATGAAAGTATAGTATATATAAGTATGTACAACTCATAATACTTGATGATAATAAATGACTGTGTTTCTGGTTTATATACTTACTATACTATACTTTTTATCATTACTTTATTTTTAATTAATTTTATTTTTTAGAATATATAATATTTTATATCTTTATTGATTTCAGAGAGAGGAACGGAGAGGAAGAGAGAGAGAAACATCAATGATGAGAGTCATTGATCGGCTGGCTGCCTCCTGCACGCCCCCTACTGGGGATCGAGCCCACAACTGGTAATCGAACCATGACCTCCTGGATCATACATAGGTTGATACTCAACTGCTGAGCCACGCTAGCCAGGCTTTTTTATCATTATTTCTGAGTGTACTTTTTCTACTTATAAAATAGAAGTTTGCTCTGAAACAGTATGCCATGTTATGCCGGCAGCAGCCTCACGCATCTCATCTTTATTGCGTCTCTTGATGGCATCATTTTCTATTGTGTGTGATTTAATCTCATGTTGCTTTGTTCATCATGACCCCTAAATGTTCACACGACGACAAATTCACCTAATGATGTGTTTCTCAGTCCCTTTCCTGAATGATGCATGACTGTATATGTGAAATGGTATGATCAAAGGTAGATGGTGATAAATTAAAGATGTATAATTAAGTCCTAAAGCAACCACTAAACTACAAAATCAAGAGTTATAGCTAACAGCCAATAAAAGAGATAAAATAGCATTATAAAAATATTTAATTACCAAAAATAGACAGAAGGAAAAGGGAACAAAAAACAGAGAGGAGAGTAATAGATTTAAATCTGGTCATATAAATAGCACTTTAAATGTAAATGGTCTAAATATCTTAAGTACAAGTTAGAGATTGTCATATTAGATAAAAAAGTAAGACCCAACTATCTGTTGCTGATAAGAAATGCACTTTAAATATTAAAGGTGCAAATAGGTTAAAAAGAAAATGACAGAAAAACATATAGCATACTAGTACTAATCAGAAGAAGGCTGGAGTGGCTATTTTAGTATCAGATAAAGTAGACTTCAGAGCAAAAACTATCTCCAGGAATAATGAATGTCATTTCATAATGATAAAGGAGTAATCAAGAAGAAATACAAATCACAAACATTTATGCACCTAATAACAGAACTTCAAAGTATATAAAGCAAACCCAATAGAACTGCAGGGAGAAATAGACAAATGCACAGTTGTAGTCTGAGATTTCAATATCCCTCTTTCAATAGTTGATGGAGGACTCAGCACAATGTAAATGCTAAATATATTAGCTATCATTATTCAAGAAAACCAGCTTGGAGAAGTGAAGAGGTGCCTCAAGTTATAGCCATTGAACAAGGGACTATCTAGGTTTGGCCCCACAGCTGGGTCCCAACAAGGTCCCTTCTGGGGGTGACCATCCTGGAGGACCCAAGGTGTGATGAACAGAATCTAGATCTCAATAGGGCATGGGGCAAGGGGCCAGATGGGCAAGAGATGGAATGAGCCTGCTGAGAGCCAAGCATCTTGTGTGGTGGACCACAGTGTTCTGGACCCAGAGGCTGAGCAATACCCAGGAGCTCCAAGACTTTAGAGCTAAATGAGACTGATCTTAGAGGAGATATGCATATGCTAATAAGAGCCAACAGTTATTAAATCTTTACATTGTGCCAGGTATAGTTGACCCTCAAAGAACAAGGGTTTGAACTGTGTGGGTCCACTTATACGTAGATTTTTTTCAGCAAATACATACAGCACTATAAATGTATTTTCTTTTCTTTATGATTTTCTTAATAACATTTTCTTTTCTTTAGCTTACTTTATTTTAAGTATACAGTATATAGTACATATAACACAAACTATGTGTTAGTGGACTGTTTATAAGGAAGGCTTCTGGTCAACAGCAGACTATTACTAGTTAAGTTTTTAGAGAATCGAAAGTTATACATGGATTTTAATTGCATGGGGAGTCAGAACCCCTAACTCCTGTGTTGTTCAAGGGTCAATTGTACTTATAGGTATTATGTCGTTGAAACCTCCTAACAAAGTCATGAAGTACCTCCTATGATTAGCCCTATTTTACAGAGAGGGAAACCTGAGGCTCAGAGAGAAGTTACTTAAAACAATTGGTGGTGCGATTTGAGCCTAGGTTTCCCTCGGGCTGGGCCAGTGCTGGCTCCTGGCTGCTCCACATGAATAGTTACATGGGCCCCATGCTTGAGCTGTTGCTGCCTTAAAATTTTTTATTTTTTTTTAAATATCTTTATTGATTTCAGAGAGAGGAAGGGAGATTGGCTGCTTACTGTATGCTCCCTACTGGGGACTGAGCCCGTAACCTGGGCATGTGCCCTGACCCGGAATCAAACCGTGAGTTCCTTAGTCACAGGTCGATGAATAATTGAACAAAGGACTTGCGTTTTCTTTTTGCACTGGGCCCTGCAAATTACATCAATGGCCCTGGGCTGTGCCTCACCATTTTTATGTTTAATTCTTCCAACATTTCTAGAGAAAGGTCCCATTAGCTGTCCTGCTTTGTAGAAGAGCCGTGGCATCTGACGTGGGCACACGAGTGTCCGAGCCAGAACCCACCTGGCATGAGCCCAGAGCCTGGAAGCTTAACTTCACTATGCTTTCCAAGAAGCTCTGCTTCTTCGGATACTAGGCCTGTGCTCTGCTGGGGTCAGGAAAGTTCTCAGCGCCTTCTTCCTACTCCACCTTGGTGGGTTCGAGCCCCATCAAGCACGCCAGAGCAGCTGGTGCCCCTCTCTGGGACCAGCCAGGGGTAAATTCTGTTCTGTCCCAGATCCCACTCACCTGACAGGACAAGGAGCAGCACCAGCAGCTGAGAGGGAGGTGAGTGGGCCAGGCGGGGAGGGGTGGGCATCACGGGGCACACCGTGCCTCCAGTGGAACCTGAGACTGGCAGTCTCTTTGCTTTCTGATGAGTGTCCGAGTCTGAAGTGGGGCCCGTGGGCAAGGCTGTGTCTGCTTCTTGAGGAGAAGGCTTCTTAGGGAAGTGTTTTGAACACGGCAAAATAAGACTGCTGATGCAAGAGGAAGGAGCCTGGTGGAAGGGGCTTCCTGCTTTTGTGGCTGGGCAGTGGTTCCTGTAATTACTCTGTCAAAACTTTAATGATTCTTTGCTACAGCCTCTGTCCTCAGCACTTTGGGAGGGAGATGACAATGGCTGCCATAGTGTGTGCTCAAGTCAGCCAGACTTTGGACCAAGTATTGGGTTTGCCTCTTCCTGGCTGTGTGACCCTTCGCACTCATTTGCCATCTCTGAGCCTTTGTTTCTGAGCCAAGAGTGGAAATGCCAGGTTATTGGGTATGTGAATGTTCAATGCAAAATTTTCCAAAGTAATGGTGCCAATTTATATGCCCACCAGTAGTGTAGGAAAGAGCCATTGTTTCTTTATTATTATTATTATTATTATTTACGTCTTTATTGATTTCAGAGAGAGGAAGAGAGAGGGAGAGAGAGAGATAGGAGCATCAATGATGAGAGAGTCATTGATGAGCTGCCTCCTGCATGCCCCTGACTGGGGATTGAGCTGCAACCCCAGCATGTGCCCTGACTGGGAATCTAACCTTGATCTTCTGGATGCTAGATCGATGCTCAACTGCTGAGCCACACCTGGCTGGGCCAGATATAGAATTTTAGATTGGAAATAATTTTCCTTTAGAATGTGCAGGCATTATTCCTTGTCTTCTACTGTCCAATGTTGCCCTTAGACATCTCATGCTGATCTCATTACAATGCTACACATACAACTTGCCTTTTATTTTCAGTTATTAAAAATCATACGGCAGTCTCTTTGTCCCCAAAGCCTGCCTACCATTCTCTTGGTTTATTCATGGCCTTGTGGTAATAAAATTTTAAAGATCAAGAATTCTGTTGATGTATGTTCCTATGGTTCTGTCAAAGTAAATTATCATGCTCCTTTTTTACAGAGAAAACATTATAATCATTAATTCATCAATACAAACAGGCCTGAATTAACCACTGTTTCCCATGTCCCACTTGAAATAGTTGAGGAATTCTCAACTTAATTTGAAATTACTGTTCCTCAGCTACATAATATCCTTAAAGAACAACCAAAAAAATTTTTTAAAAGGAATATACATTATTGAACCAATGCCAAAATTAATGTGTCTAGCTCACTGTATCAAACTGTACAACTTGGTCATAGTGTTGCTTTCTCTTTGATTGGTAAACGTCTAATTGCACTTAACATCACTGTCCCTTCTATGCCGTCTACTCCCAGCAGCCCATTTTTCCCCTCCTATCATATTTATGTCATGAGTATTGGATAACAGAAAAGCTGATAATTTGGGTTTCTGTGTCTGTTTCTAAGTGACCCATGTCTGGGGGCATCAAGAACTGTAAGAAGGAGCAGCAGGAACCTGTGGGCAGCAGGAAATGAGCTCCCAGCCTCCCAGACCACCATAGGCCCAGAGGGAGACAGCCCTTCCTACAGCATCTCCAGCACAGCCAGGGTGGTGCCGGCCCAGGGGGATGTTCGCTCCCAGGTCATCTGCCAGGTGGAACACGTCACCCTTCAGGGAGGCCCTCCTCTTCGTGGGACTGTCAACTTGTCTGAGACTATCCGAGGTAGATGCCCCTCACACCTGGCCCAAGCCCACACCTAGTCACTAACCTCCAAGCCTGCTCCTCCCCCTGCTCTCTGCTCCAGGCCTGGAATTGCCTGGAATCTAATTCCTGACAGTCCTTCCCATTGCCAGGCACATGGACTTGCCCATCACTCACCAGTGTTTAATGGCAGCTGCCAGGTAGATTCTACAACATGCCGAGCATGTTAGTTTCATCTACTTTACCTATAGCAACTCCACTTACTGAGCACCTGCTAAAAGCCAAGCTCTTATGTACTTGAGGACTTTCCATGTAGATATTCAGTTGTTCCAACTATTCATTATTATTATTATTAAAAAAAAAAATTTTTTTTTAAATATATCTTTATTGATTTCAGAGAGAGGAAAGGAGAGGGAGAGAGAGAGAGAGAGAAACATCAATGATGAAAGAGTCATTGATCAAGCCCACAACCCAGGCATGTGCCCTGACCGGGAATCGAACCCTGATCGCCTGGATCCTAGGTCGACACTTAACCTCTGAGCCACGCCTGGCCGGGCCAACTATTTATTATTTTTAATCATCCAATTTTAAAATATAATAAAAATGACAATTTCTTTAAGGTGAAAAATTAGAGAACGAATGGACCATGGAACCAATACAGACATGCTGCTTGCGATTTTTACATTTTGAAAACATAGAAATAGTATTCTGAGGGGTTGTAACAATCTGTATTTTGTCAGGAAAACATACAGGCAGTTACTTGAGAGGCAGGACCTTGAGCAGTGAATTTTATGGAAGGCTGGGAAACTGCCTCCTGCAGCAGAGGTGGATGGAGAAGCCAAAGATCATGGACGTGTCTGAGAACTTCTGGCTACTTTCAATGTTACAGAACGATTGAGTGGGTTTGCAAAGTCTTTATCTGGTCACGGGTCCTCCTGAAAATGACATTTCTGCTTCCGTTTTGCCCTTTGAATTCAAAACGGGCTCTTCTCTTTGGCAACATTTCAGCGAACATCATACAGAATTTAAAAGCAAAAATATTGGCCACAGCGAACTAGGACAAGAGATAATGAGACTAGTGATAGAAAGATGGAAAGCACCGGGAGACACTGAGGGAAAATGCGTGTGAGGAGCAAAGGCCTTAGGAATAGCCCACCTACCCTGGGGCATAGATGTGCCTGGGTAAAGACATAACCTAGCTCCTCTTACTCTGCACAGGTGAAGGTGGGACTGTGGAGGACGGCGTGGCTGAGCACTGGTCGCTGTCGCGGCTCAGAACCAACCTGCAAACACTGGGAGAGGAACTTATCTCCTTTTCTGCCTCCCTCCCTCTCTTGGCTCCAGGCACTTAGCGAAATCTCTGTGAATCCACAATGTGACTACCAAGCTGATGGAAGAGAGACTGCATCGGCCACGCGTGACAATAAAGACTGTCTTTACAAAAGTGACTTGAAAAAGCACTGCACAAATCCCAACCCACGACAAGCAGCAACAACAAACCTGAGCGAAGGAGGAGATTCTGATTTCTAGGTTTCCACGTTACATTATTTAAAACGCCAGTTTTCAACAAGAGTTAGAAGGAATGGAAAACACAGAAAAGCATGGCTAAGTTCACAAGGAAAAGGAAATTAAGAGACTGTTTTGAGGGTGTCTGGACATGGGATTTCAAGCGGAAATAAAAAAATGTAACAAGAGAATATAAAGAAAGCACTTGTAAAATTAAGTGTATAGTCAAACTCAGCAAAACACTGTAATGTGGTATGTTAGTCCAGGTTCCCAGACCCCATGGCTGGCATTCAGCTGGCATCTCTGCCAAGCAGGCGAGTCCACCGCTTCCCAGTAGCAGTTTTGAATACATTTGTTTCCAGCCTGTTAAAGATATTTTAGCTTTCAACGTATGTGGCCCGCAGAACTCTACACTTTAAACTGTTTGAAACATCAGCTTAAAACGGGCAGGAAGGAGCCCTGCCTCACAGGGCGCAGAAGAAACTGAACAGGTTCAGAAATCAGAAAAGACAAACGCAGAGCCGGGGGGCGGGAGCCCGGGCCCAGACACGGCGCCCCGCGGCGCTGAAC